ATAATACAGCATGAAATATCGCAGTAATATCGCATGGTACAAGAGTAGGTTGCCATAGGGCCTCAGTACATGCGATTATATAATCACTTTAGTGTTTGAAGCCAGTCAACCACTACAGATGGCACACGTGTTACTGCGCCTATTCTCTCAAGGCCAGGTATAGTGGGTTCATTGCAAGTTCGAAAAGAGATTTCATGCGACATATGTTTGAAGTACGCACTAGGGACAGCAGGATATCACTATTGAGTTCAACTCCTGAAGGCGAAGCTGAAGGAACACCCAATTTTTTCTCGTGCTCTTCGACTACATGATGGTGCCTCCCTCTTGCGCAGCCGAAAACACATAAGACTGAAGCGAAATCGGTTTATCGCACCCGGTAGTCATGCGAGAAAAGGCAGAACGGACGTGCGACTAAGTGGCAAAGCAAACGTTGGAGAATTCACAACTCATATACTTCCTCCCATATAGAGCAATCGTTATGTCAATTCTTTATGGTGTGACGTGAACAGCCCGCGTATATCTTAATTGTGCGGAAACACCAAATAATGTACCGGTACTTTGCATATTGAGAGGTAGTTGAGGGGCATCCTAACTGTATGATTCTTTACTTACAGACACAATCCGCACATCAATAAAAATAGCTCCGGCAGCTTGCAGTTCTATCCAGGTTTAACTTTATCCTTTTGAAGTAACATAACTATTCCTGCCTTTTTTCGTGACCTATTGCTGCCAAGGCAGCTTTGCATAATCCAAATGAGGCAGTGAATTTATACACGCTGCAACAAAATATGTATAGAAAATGCAAACAGCAAACGGCTGCGCCTTTAGGAATAGCGAAAAAAAAATTACGGCCTATCAGCTGATTATCAGACGTACGTGATGCGCGACCTCATACATTTGCAAGGAACATAAACGGTATGCACAAGTCCCATCTTTCACTGCCACTCTTGTTTGCTTGCTCTTGTACGCTACAAATGAAGTAGAGTACTCCGCCAACTGCACGCAAGTGATACCTGAGGCTCTGGCTTTACATATAGCTCCTGGTAACTCTCACTCAGCAGAATTGTGTAGTGTAGGTGTAGTGGTTGTTAGGTGGTGCTATCGAGCTTTGCCTGTAGAGCAGCGCGTACAGCCGTCAGCACCTTTAACTAGAACACTTCGACGAGTGGCCAGGGCTAGTTTGATTGATACCAGCCGCTAGGTGCTTGGCGCTTTTGCCGAGATAATACCTCGGTAGGCTTGGATAGTCGGCATGTATGGTTAGCATCTTGACAACAGAACCCAAAACGTACCTGGTGTCAGTGTCAATCAAACTGCTGCAGGACACGCGGAGGAGTGTTCGTGTAAAAGGTGCTGACGGCTGTACATATCAGCCGGGGACTACGCCCCTGATAAGTACGCGCTGTTCGACTAACAAAGCTCGATAGCACCACCTGACAAGCGCTTGATCCCGTGGCTGAACACGTAGGTCGTGAATTATCAGGCTGCTGCGAACGCATCGCGCTAAAACTCGGCGTTAAGCGCTGAACGTAGTATAGGTGAGCATAAGATTAGAAAAAAGGAGATGATCAATCAAAACAACTTCACGCGCTCTGCGATTGCGGTAATATGCAGCGGGAGCATTCTCGTACGTTTAATCAGAGCATCAAGAAGGCATTGTCAAATATATTCGCACATAAGGGTGAGCAGAAGCTAACATATGAAGAATGTCATCATATTTTGTTTTTTTTTTGTATGATTTCCGATACGACAAGCTTTGGTGTATGTATTAGCTTTTTATAACGGTGTATATAGAAGCTCTATCAGATGCGAAAACCAAACTAGACGTGATCATAATCTGCTTAGCGCGTGTGGAAAAGATGTATAGTTCCAGAACAAAGCTTAGGGCAAGACCGTACTTGTTTCTATCGATACAGTCTCAACTAAGGGAACATTTCCGATGGAGGCGGAAATGTTGTAGGCCCGTGTACTCAGATTTGGGTGCACGTTAAAGAACACCAGGTGGTCGAAATTTCCGGAGCCCTCCACTACGGCGTCTCTCATAATCAAATAATGGTTTTGGGACGTTAAACCCCACAAATCAATCAATCAATCAATCAATCAACTAAGGAAATTATGTGACAAAGAATTTCAAACGAGTTTTTACGTTAGCCTTCCGTCACAAAAGCTTCTAATTCCGCCTCATCGCATAGTAAAAAGGACGTAGACAGCAGTGGTGAACATGGAACTTTGCGCTTGCATGCAATGTTGCAGTTACACCACTATCACGCACAACACAAATGTCGAAATTGCTAGTTCATCGCGTAGAGATGATCGTACGTACCTTTTGCGGCGATGGAAACTCACTAAAGTCGTGCAATATTAACGATGACTGCCACACAGAGCAAACAATGGAGCAGAAAAATCCAACAAAAAAACCGTGGCTGCCCAAGGGTTGGTGAAGGTTCACTAAGACGGCCAACAAGAACACAGGCGAGTGTGTCACTAAAAGCACGTGCGCGACACCATCTGCGCATGCGTCGATTTCCTTATTTTCTTTTCACGCAAGTATTTCGCTCCGACAAGGTCATTTAAAGGATCAGTGTGGGTTGTTTCGTATAGAAGGCATTTTTTATGAAAATTGTTGGTTCGGAAATCCCTTCCTGGCACGCTTTTCGGCACTTAGAAACTTTTTAGTTCGTTGTACATATCCAGAAAAAAAAACGTTGTGGCAATCTTTAGAAAGCACAAATTTGGGACATCTACATTAGGGTAATTTGAAGCTGTGAGGCATCGCAGACGTTACAGTCACCTATCTATCTATCTATCTATCTATCTATCTATCTATCTATCTATCTATCTATCTATCTATCTATCTATCTATCTATCTATCTATCTATCTATCTATCTATTATCTATCTATCTATCTATCTATCTATCTATCTATCTATCTATCTATCTATCTATCTATCTATCTATCTATTTACGCTGCAATTGATTGGTTCAATGGTTTACTGATATGTGCATCTTAACAGCCTGAAAACACCATATGAATATGAGAGACGCCGTAGTGTAGGGCTCTGGAAATTTCGACCACCCGGGGTTCTTTAGCGTGCACCCAAATCTGAGCACACGGGCCTACAGCATTTTCGCGTCCATCAAAAATGCAGCACACAGCCGGGATTCAATCTCGCGACCTGCGTGTCAGCAGCCGAGTACCTTAGTCAATAGACCGCCACAGCAGGGCATTTTTATGCTACGAGGGGGGGGGTGTTCTTATTATTTTTTACTTCATTTTGGGTGAAACATTTTATGGCATTACAAATACCTTACAAAGTAGTTAGGTTCCCATCAAACACCATAAATGGTAATTGATATCTTTACTAATTAGAGTCGAGTTCCAAGTCAAGTTTTTCAAAAGTTTTGAATTATAGCGATTGTTTACAAAGATCGGAAATATAAGTGCACTTCAAACATTTGAATGAACTTGGCAGAAAAAAAAAGCCTTGTTTGCAGTAAAACGTTTCTTATTCAAAAAAATAAAAGACGTAAGTGCTACAGACGAATATGAGTGCGTCGTACATGCGTATCTCTCAAGTCAGGAATAGACGTACACAGTAAGTTCAACGGGCGATGAAATGTCAGTCAATGCCTTGTAATCGTATTATAAAATAAAGCGGCTGACAGCAAAGCCCTCAAGCCATTCGTCATGATGCTTCGCATAATCATATTTTCAGCACTGGTCATGTCGTCTAGAGGTAAGAAACACTACTTTCCCAATACATGTTTTGATTGATATTGGAGTTTAACGTCCCAAAACCACTATATGATTATGAGAGACACCGTAGTGGAGGGCTCCGGAAATTTCGACCACCTGGAGTTATTTAACGTGCACGCAAATCTGAGCACACGGGCCTACAACATTTCCGCCTTCATCGGAAATGCAGCCGCCGCAGCCGGGATTTGATCCCGCGACCTGCGGGTCAGCAGCCGAGTACCTTAGCCACTAGACCACCGCGGCGGGGCTTCCCAATACATGTCGTATATTTAATTTTTTTTTGTTATTCCTTTGTAGATAAGATGAAATTTTTTCCTGCACCAGACGTGGACGTTCCTTAAGCGAGGCAACCCTGTGTCAGGTGTAGCCAAGGGTAGCCATTCCGCCACGGTCGTCCGGAAGCTACGGTCTTCGATAGTCAACCCGAGGTCGCGAAGTCGAATCCCGGCCACGGCGGCCACGTTTTCGACAGAGGCGACAATGTTTGAGGCCCGTGCGCTTAGACTTAGGTGCAAGTTAAAGAACCCCAGTTGGTCAAAATCATATCGCGGTTTTGGTACGTTCAACAACAACAATTATTACTATTATATTTAGAAATCACCGTCGTAAATTATTTTGTGCATCATGCTACAATATTTGGGAGCGGTGCGTGGGAAAGAGGGAGAGATAGAAAACATTTAGCCGTACGAGGACAAGAGATATTTCTCATAACCTGGAAGCCGTAACTCAAAGCCCTATCAGCTCTTGCCATTGATCACCCTTTCAGAAAGGCGTCTGTATCATGTGACCCGCCAGACATCGTTAGTGGCCCGCGGCCCACACATGACTGTTTTCATCCCATGAATTTTTTTTTCCTCTTGATAAGTATGTTCATGAGATACTCATACATGACTAGCCTCTAGCATTTCTTTCGTGTGGCACGTACCTCACGCGTCAATCACGTATTGGAAACTAGTCGTGGTACTATAAGAACTGTATAGTTTAAATTTGGCTTGTTGATGTCAGACACCTTTGAAATCCGTATTGACATGTTTATCGAATCTAGAAAGAAGTGCCCTTGAGAAACCAGCAAGGAAATGAAATATAAAAAAGGTCTTCTTTCAAACGGCAACACTAGCTGACATCATGTACAAGTTTCAAGCTATACGCACTCATTACGATATTCATATTATGTGACGCCTGGTTGTTAGTTTACCCATTCACAATGCAATATCACCTATATTCACGTGATTCCATACCCGATATGACGTCTGTTTACAAGGTGCTTAAGGAGTTTGTTCGCCAAGCTTCTTATGCTCGGGGCAAGTCTCTTGGCGTGCGAGCTAGTGCAATGTACCCAATATGCGCCTGCCATAACTTTCTTGAGGAAATCCCCCACTATTCCACTACGCCAGTCTGCTGATAAGCGAAACGCCCACTACACGTCTGTAAGGCATCGTGTAAACTTTGTGCTGCGAAGAAGGCTTGTCGACTGGCGGACCCCGAAATGAGAGCCGGCAAACCAGAGGTGGCACGCAAGTGGTGGCGAGAGAACCTCGACTTGGGACCTGTGTCGACATTGCCTTCTCCAACTTTCAACTGCAACCTCTAGATCCCCTCGCCACATGCGTCTCCGGCCACAAAATTGTAATCTTCAAAAAAAAAAAAAAACGCGTCCCACAGCTTTGTAATCGGGAATTTGATCCGTGTATATAATTGCTTAGATATGTAAATGATTACATCTTGTGTATATATAGGTGTTTAAAATTGCGTTGACATGTATATAAGAAAGCACTGTGCATTTGACTGCATATACAATCACCCCTAAAACAACATGTCACTGCCCTATATGGTGGTAGAGGACTTGTATGGCGAGACCATATGGTAGAATACTCAAATGCCGCACACAAAGAGCCTGATTTGAATAGCGCTCAAATAGAACTGTTATTCAACAGCGAAGCTGATTAGCGAACCATTCATTCTGTGTCGATCACCGAAAACTATCACTATGATCTTAACTGGTATGCGCCGTTGTGCAGCTCACAAGAAAACATTAATGGGCATGTGCCACAGCTCGACACTGGTCTATTGAAAATTAAGAAGGCGCCATTTTTCGTCCAAAGAATGGCTGCGATGCGACAGTGGCGAGCCGGGGACCCCGAATACGTACTACAAGATAATGATAGGGAAAGGCAACGGTGGCTACAAGAAGAACTTGAAGTGCTGGAAGGCCTACGCCAACGAGGACGTACCCGTAGATCTATCAGAGGCGTGAACGTTCGGCTTCAGCGTGAGGTTCTGTCTCTGGAGTATGGACGACCTTGACGTGTCTGCGAGCATCTGTGGTTTAACTCGAACCTGTCTGCACTGAGAATCAACGTTGAAACAACCTAACATCACCAAGCAAACATCTAGCAACAGCGTAAAAGCAACCTGGAACGTACATCACCTATCTGAGGCCTATAAACAATCCAGAAGCAACCGGGCTAGTCTTCAGAATTGTCCAGTTTTGTTTTCTTCAACCATAATTTTTCGTCGAGTTTTCGTCAAACCATAAGCTTCAGTTCTTGCAATAATATGTGATTAACATTTAGAAACAATTAAAAGCTCACGTCTACTTAATGTGTGCTTGTTCCTGTTTTAGCACCTCAACTTGCAAACACGCGACACAATGTAGATCCAATACTGCCGGTTGAGAAGACATGTATGTAATGTTTAGGCACCAGCAAAAAGGTAACATTCATCAAACTCGTGACAGTACTTTTTCCACGTACATCTTCTTCGTCTCTACCCTCCAGCATTGTTTCTTTTAAAAAACAATCCAGAAGCAACTAAGCTAGTCTTCTAAATTGTCCAGTTTTGTTGTCTCAAGGCTTGCGTTGCTAGGTGAAAGCTTCGCCAATTTTTTTTCTCATTGACGTCACCTGAATCGACCGTTGTTGAGATCTTGCAAACGCTTTCGCTGTAAAAGTATGTGAACGTCGGATGTTCCAATCGTTTTTTCACAGGATTGCCACAACCAAGGCTGGTTTACCCACGCCTACTGGAGGAACGTGCAGCCGACGGAAGAATGGTGATGCACCTGCACGACAACTGACGTTGAACCTCAGAAAGGCGTCGGTGGCGGCCCGAAACTTCCGAGTCCTGGAACATGAAGATGGACGCGAAGTGACACGTTTTGTAAGTACTCACGCTATGATCTCTAAAGCGTGGCTTTTGAAAATGACGGCCAAATTGGCATGCCAGTCATTCTCATGACATTGCGCTAATAGTATTAAAAGAAAACGTAAGTGTCCCATGCACATTTAGAATGTGTTATTACATGATCATCTGTCTGTGCCATATGATTAGAGCATAAAGTGTGTTGGCAGTATATAGTGAAGAACATGATTGATATGTGGGGTTTAACGTCCCAAAACCACTATATGATTATGAGAGACGCCGTAGTGGAGGGCTCCGGAAATTTCGACCACCTGGGGTTCTTTAACGTGCACCCAAATCTGAGCACACGGGCCTACAACATTTCCGCCTCCATCGGAAATAGTGAAGAACATAGTTACCGTGAGTGAATCAATGCGACGACACATTGGCTTTATATTTCAGCCCTAATATACCCCTCGATATCAATAATCATTTTTTTACAAGCTCTTCTGGCGTCTTGCACAGATACTTATGGTCAGACACAATAGACGCAGTGGTACAGCGAACACATGAGGTATCTTAACAGATTTTATGCAACGGCAAGTTCACCGGTTGAATTATCATGTCAAACTAAAGTAACATGTCGAATAACACACTACAATGCCAATATCACACACACTAACAGCAAATTGCCCTCGCACGTAGTGTATGCGACGTCGCCGAACTTCGACTAAACACGAGAGTACGCCGGAACAAACAACGGTATTGTCCTCACGCACTTTCCACTGAGAAACAAACCGTCACTGACTATACGCCCCATCTCTGCTCAATATCCCCGCATCATCAATCAATCAATCAATCAATCAATAACTGCGACGCTCGGGCAACACGAGGCGAACACTACTTAATGGTGCGTACACCCCTACGCCTTTAATATAATGAAAACTACAATTCACTTTTAAGATGTCTAAACTCACTCTTGACAGTGTGTCATGAAACAGTCCACAACCTTGACAAAATGCCTCGACAAGATTTGCAGCAGGTAGTTCATTACTATGTTTATCTATCCATACGAACGTTAAAGATCACGGCACTACAAAAACATCGTTAGAATCGTTTCTCTGACCAAAATAACAAGATCACTTTCTCCGTGTAACGGACAGGCTGTCATACTCAGTTGCCTATGATATGTCATTCTTATGACGGGAGATATCATTACTGGATAGAAAGTTCAATAGTCTACCCTTTCTGAGATTTCTTGTCTCAACGCTTTTTACTGCCTTATAAAACTTAGATCGAGCCTCAACAATCAAGCGCATATAAGCTCATAAAAAAGAAATCATAATGTGTGACGTCGAAGTAATTTAGCTAGCTTGCAGGAAGATAGATCAGTGGCAGCGGTATCATGCACGCTTGACAACAGTTACGAATATCGTATGGTAACATTAATCTCATAAATTATTTAGACAACCATTTTGGTACTCTACACATTAAACAAAAAAAAGTTATCTCATCAATATAAACCACCTCTCAGTTTTTTTTTTCTTTTGATTTACTGTTGCAGTGGGTAGAAGCTCGTAAACAAAACGGGTTTGGCCCCACATTTATAGACATTTGTCTAAGCGACTGCTTCTTTGTACTTACGTCTGTGTTACTTGTCTCTTTCTTGTTTCCTTTCCTTCTACCCTGTTTTATTCAATGCTTGTCTGTTCTCAAAAGAGCAGGCAGGCATAGTGTCGCTGTAAGTGGCAGTTGTCAGCCTCTTCCTGACCTGTTTCCTCTGTGTGTGCTGTGTATCCAAATCAAATAAATAAACAATAAATAATGTTTGTGTGATGCTAAATCGCGATCAGAAACACAAAATTTTCCAAGGCTTTCTGTATGTGCTAAACACGTACAGTTTACTTACTTTATTGATAATATAACTAAAATAAATTTTGTATAGACAAAAAAAAAGAAATTTAGTTTTGCTTCACCCCCCTTTTTTTTCAGTTCGACGGTAGAGACCTGGACCGGAATCTTCACGAAGATGAAAAACAGTTCGCGACAGTGCACGTCACAAGAACCGACAACGGGATCGAAGTCGTGAGTTTCAAAATTTTATTGACGAATAAAAATTCATATCATGCGTTTTCTGCTTTTACTCCACGTTATCGCATCTACGAGGATACAGAATGGTGTCATGGGGATCATAAATACGTCGTCGTGATATCAGCTCACTATATTTAAGCGAATGCAAAAGACAGACACTAACCTCGTTAAACTTCTTAGTTGGCAGCTTTAGGCTAAATGTTCCAAAATTTCATTTTGGCGAAATTTTTTATATATAAATAGTATTACGGGTGTGTACCGCAAGGTTTGTTGCATACAAGGTATACAAAAACCTAGAAAAACCTAGCTCAAACGATAGTCATGATGTGATATTCCTGGTGTGTAAATATAATTACTAAAAAGAGTTACCCATCCAATACCATTAAACATCGCACAATAGCCCGCATCAATATATACATGTATATATACTGTTTAATCACCTCTTTATTATTGCTTCGGTTTACACGTATATAGTTTGAAAAAAAAAAGAGTGCTGGATCTGTTTCGTATTGTGATTACACTTATATGGATACCCTGGGCGGGTTTTAGCCGTCGCCGTCAAGTTCTGTATAAAGTCTATGGGCTTTATACAGAACTTCATGGTGACAGCTAAAGCTGATGTTATCACCCCGCACAGTATGTTCTACACGAGCGAAAAGCCAGCATTTAGTAGAGTTACGGCAGATGCCATCCTAATAGAGTTACCTGCTAGCCTTGCTTCGTATGCTAACATGTTGCTATATCGTATTCATTGCTTCAACCTTGCGGCGAAATTGTCATCTTTTATTGCATTGCGGTCTTATGTTGAAGTATTCAGGGTAACTGAAATATCCAAAGTGCTCCATGGCTTTGATGCGTTTGCTTGAAGTTAGCTGCTTTATGCAGTACACAACAAAATAACGTGTTACACTAAAGGAGAGAGAGAGAGAGAAATCAGAACAAGGCAGGGAGGTCAACCAGAAGTGTAGCATTCGGTTTGCTACCCTGCACCAATGGGAGGGGAATGTGGGAGAAAGGTGAGAAGTAAAGCGAAGAGAAAAGTAGAAACAAGTGAAAAAAAGAAAAGAAGAAGAGTGGAGGTACTATAGCCTATTAAATAGGCCCCTACCTCGCAAAAAGGCCTTGATAGACTTTCTGTGCAAAGACGGATCGTGTCAGGTTTCGAGCACTGACTGTTCTGACAAGCATCTGTCATAAAGGCGGGCTAACGCAGCAGCTATGGCGGCAGTCTGTGCGCACTGTAGCGATGACAGTGACGCAGAATGCGCTCTATCTTTTTGTCGCTGCCACAATGATCGCAAACAGCACCGTCTTCCAGTGAGGCTACCTAGTGAAACGCGGTAACCTGGTGGAAATCGCGCATTCACATTTCGATGACGTGCAATGCAATTCCAAGTGACACGTTGCCTTTTGCAGGAAGGTGTTGTTGGACCGCACCACAGAATCGAGCCAATGCGCACAATGGAGAGATCAGAAAACGGCCTGATTCCACACATGATACATGAAATCGAGAAGAAAGAACTGGTAGACATCGAGAAAGCAATACCTGTAAAAGGCAAGTGAACAGGCTGTTGCTGAACAGGTCCTTCAGACTTAATTGTGACTTTCCTTTATTTATCTTTTTGCTGTTTTAGGTGATAGGACCGTAAACGAGAGGGCTAATGTGGGGCAATATGTACCCGCAGAAGTCACCATAGAAATTTTTATAGTCTCTGACTGGCCACATCATAAGCACTTCAACACAACGATTCAGTTAATATTTTACCTCTGCGTAATGATGAACTCGGTGAGTATCAACATTATATTTACAGAACTTACTTTTTTACATCAAGCAATGGGAAATGTAGGTACATACATACATACATACATACATACATACATACATACATACATACATACATACATACATACATACATACATACATACATGCATGCATGCATGCATACATACATACATACATACATACATACATACATACATACATACATACATACATACATACATACATACATACATACATACATGCATGCATGCATGCATACATACATACATACATACATACATACATACATACATACATACATACATACATACATACATACATACATACATACATACATACATACATACATACATACATACATACATACATACATACATACATACATACATACATACATACATACATACATACACGCCTCCGATGCAAAAACGGGATAGGTCACATGAACACCGACAAGACTAATGGTGCATTATATATCATGTCTATTTACTGCCGGTTTTTATGCCCAATACTATGCCACAAACGGTTGATGTGGTGATGGCACAACAGAAAGACCAGTTGACGCAATTTCAAGGTTACAATTTTTATTGTAAGCTCGATAAACTTCATTGGGGCAGTCAGTTTGAAGTACCATTCTGTAAGTGAAACAATCAAGTACAGCACAGCCGTGATTGGTCAAGTGAGCGTTCAAATTGAGACGTGCTCTACCATGTTCCCACAGGTTAACATCAGATACGCAGACACAAAAGAACCGACGGTAAAGTTCCTTCTTATGGGTGTTGAGAAAGACCAGGTAAATAGTGACATCGTTTTGCATGAAAGACTTCTAACACCTTTTGTCAGCAACTTACATTTCTCATTTTCTGCTCAGTTTAGCATTTATAAAAAAGGTGCCGGCGCACAAATGGAAAGCTCAGGGACCCTTGAGAACTTCCGGAAGTACGCCTACAACAGAAAATATGACTACGGTGAACCCGATATGGTGTTCTTAATCACTGGGTATGTGCACCATATAATCCTTAGTTTTTACTTCATATTATTACCAAATGATTTTTGTTTTCGACTCACTGTGGATGACGTTTTTCAGGTTTGTATTATACTCCATAGAAAGAGACGGCACGAAGAGCACGAATGTGCTAGGTAAGCCTATTCAGCCGTTGTACAAAAGTATAGTGGCAGCATCGAAGAACCGGAAAAATAAAACAGAATGTACTTTATTCACAAGCGTTTGGCACAGGGGTCATGGGCTCAGTGAGGAGGCCCTGGAGTCCAGGGCTCCGCTGGCTACTGCCGCCTGTCTCACGTGACCCAGAATCGCAAGCTGTACCCTTCGGTCAGGGCTGGCGAGCTGTGGCTCCCGTTGCTCGAAAGTATTAAAAGCTTGCTCTGACCTAAAAAAATAGCTAAATATGGTGGTTACTCTAGGCATTCCCATGTGCCTGACTGCTTAGCAAAATATTCGCGAGGGGCCATTCTGGATGCGTCGTTATGCTCCTCGTCAGCTTCCTTTTGGAGTGTTTCAAAGGATTGAAAGTGCAGTCGAGGCTCTGCTCGGTTCGTGCACTTTCGTTTCCTTCCAGGATTGCGTGCCCTGAACACCAGATCAGCCTGTATTTGTTCGTCAACCACCCGTCTAGGAACTTTCTTATTTTTATCAGAAGGCGGCCTTTTAAAAGGAAACGGCACGCTTTCCACGACTCAGTAATGATAATTGTCTGCTGTTCATATCTCTGTTCTTGCGCTTCGATCACAAGGGCAATGGCAAACCATTCCACTTTGGCGATCAAGGACGTGTACAGCGATGCACATGTCACCATGCTGTTATGGCGGCTAAATAATGATGCAACTGACCGTTTGAATTTGCACCGGGAAGCGTCCACAGACAAAACATTTGGTTTGCTTTTTTTAATGTTTTTCGGAGCCATCGTATATTCTCTCCTTTCTGCGCTTTCTCCTTGTTTTGGAGCCCATACTCTTGGGCAGCGGAAAGATGGTGATCGTGCTGCGGACAGGATTTGGGATTTTCGCGAGAACCTCGTGCAGGTTCCGAGGATATGGCGGGAAGCCTACCTTATAGAGCGTATCTCTCTCCCCGCTTTCGTCTTACTTCGGCAATTTTTCAGCGCAGTCAGTACCGCTGCCTTCAGCTCAGGGTATGTGTTATATATACCAAGGTGCAATAGTTTTTGGCTTGGTGTGCTTACCGGTAGCCCTAGGGCCACTTTTTAGGCATCCCTGATTATAGACACGATGTTTTGTTCTTACCTGTTTAGCGCGTGTAAAGGTAGACTGTACGTAACCTTACTAAGTACGAGTGTCTGTACTAATCTGATTGTGTCTCCTTCGTTCATTCCCCGTTTGTGAGATGTTAATATCTGGATCATTCACGCAAATTGTTCCATAGCTGAATTTAATATGTATACTGTGTGGTTCGCTCTTCCACTGCAAAGACCCAGTAACCCAAAATATGATATTTGATGACTTCATTGCGTTTGTCGATGTTTCCATTACTTTTGTATCTTTTTCTATGTACCCTGACAATTTCATATTTGTCTCGGACGCAGCTGAGCCCACTGGCCGTGGCAAATTTTTCAACTGATGTTGCAGCCTCTTGAAGGGTCTGCTCTTTGCTAGCCAGAGATCTAAGCGCTGCCCACAGGGTAATATCATCCGGATAAATGTTGTATCCTAACTGCGGCACATTATTTAAGGCTCACGTGAATCCTATAACGGTGGTAACAAAGAGTAGGGGAGATATGATGGCTCCTTGAGGGCTACCTTCTCTTGGCATTTAAAAAGCGTCCAACGTGGCTTGCGACACGGTTGTTGAAACCCACCTCTCTGTGAGGAAGGCCTTTACGTAATTGTAGGTGCTTGCCTCACGTCCGATGTTGCTTAATTCTGTTAGGATGAACTTATGCACGGTATTGTCGAATGCTCCTTTTAAATCAAGGACTAGTATCACATGTATCTGCTCCCACGCTTATAAAGCTCAGAACTTCCTCTTGCAATAAGAGGAACGCGTTTTGAGTGGAGAGGTATTTGCGGAAACTCAGCAAGAAACGTTCAAGCATCACGTTATAATTACCAATTTGCTGCACGGATGTTCAGTATTGTTATGCCTGCGAGTTCGCAGCGAACGTCCGTGCCTCTGAAAAAGGCAATCTGGGTCAAGGCCAGCCCGCCTGACGCGAACAACTCAACGGCGTCATCACGCCACGGCGCCTTTCTGGCGCGCACGTGCAGTGAGTCACCTCCGCAAGCGAGCCCGTCGAGTAAACAACCGGCGTCTTCCTGTCTGGCGGCTGACGCAATGTGCGGTGACGTCACTCGTCCTTGGGTGCAGCCACCTGCAGCGCAGCCTCTCCAGATTCGATGAGAAAGAAGGACGCGGCCCAGCGGCGACCTCGTTGGAGGATTCTGACCTCGCGACCAGCGGCGCTTCGGGTTGGACATTTGGGTTGGAACCGGGGCATATAAAAGAAGCCCTGCGGCGCGTCGAGATAGACCCCTCTTACAGCAGAACCATTTGAGAGTAGAGCTATGTGTTAGAGAGAAGAGCTCGGCTCTTCGCGTCTCTGTCGGCCCCAGTGCCGAATTTGTAACGCCTCTGTATATATGCTGTACATAAGCCTTGTTTAACTCACCGTCGTCTCGTCCGCTCGTCTATCAGCTCTGCGCAGAAGCAGTCGCGAGCTGAGAAACCTACGCTACCAAACGGCTGGTGACCTTCCCGGCGGAGTTCGAAGCAGTGGCGCCTTCGGGACCGTGTTGGCGTCACCGTCTTTCGAAACAGTGGTTGCAGCGGTGAGATTTCGAGGCGCCCTTCGTAACGTCGTCGGAGGTGCGCTTCGCAACAGTGGTTGGCAGCTGCGGGATCGGCCGGCGTCAGCGACATCGATGCGGTGAGTGCCTCATGTTTTCCCCTCAGTTCACCAGACTACTCTAGCTCAGGTTATAGTAGTTTAGAGAAGGGCTGTGTGAAGCATTTGAAGTGAGCTTTGATCGTTTCAAGCCAAGTCGAAGTGCTTTGAAACCAAAGTGAATGCGGAGGAGGTAAACACGGGAGTGTTTAAAATTGCTTGCGCGTCTTGCTAGTAGGCTTATAGTGGGTACGGCAAGTAGATTCTTAACAGGGGCAAACAGCAAGAGGCTAGTGTGAACGATGGAGAACCTTAATGTGAAGGAACTCATCGAAATTTGTGAGGAACTCGGCATTACTTTGGGCCGTGCGAAACGAAAGCAAGCGATCCTTGAGATCATGAAGGATGAGGGAGTGTCGGCTGAGGAAGTCGATGAGGCCTGGGTGGATATCGAAGCACGCCGCAAGGAGGCTGAAAGGCGAGAAGCTTGCGAAGAAGCTGAAAGGCGAGAAGCTCGCGAACGTGAAGAAGCTTAAAGGCGAGAAGTTCGTGAAGAAGCTGAAAGGCGAGAAGCTCGCGAACGTGAAGAAGCTGAAAGGCGAGAAGCTCGCGAACGTGAAGAAGCTGAAAGGCGAGAAGTTCGTGAAGAAGCTGAAAGGCGAGAAGCTCGCAAACGTGAAGAAGCTGAAAGGCGAGAAGCTCGTGAAGAAGCTGAAAGGTGAGAACGCCGCGAGGAGGCCGAGAGACAGGAGCACCTCGAGTTGGAACGAATAGGATTGTCAATACTACAGTGTTCGCAGGCGCCTAGCGTAGCTTCTCCAACAATTCAGGTCAGCGGTTTTAGAATTCAGGACCGATTGCCACCGTTCCTAGTAGGCGAGGACATGGCGAAGTATCTCGTCAAGTTTGAACACGTCTGTGAGCGAAACGCTTTGGAGCGGTCTCTTTGGGCGCGGAACCTGTTAGCTCTTCTTCCCGGCGAAGTGTCCGACGCGATAACTTGCTTGTCGAGGAAAGCGTTTGAGAGCTATGACGAGGTTAAGGAAGTGCTCTTGAGACGTTATAAGTTGTCACCCGAGGCCTTCAGGCAAAGGTTCCGGTATGATAAAAAGGGGAATGAGTCACACGTTGACTTCGCGTTTCGTCTTAAAGCCGATTTAATTGAATGGCTCAAGGGCGAAGGTGTTTATGACGAACGCGATAAAGTGGTGGAATGCGTTGCATTAGAGCAATTCTACCGCTGCATCGAGGAGGATGTCAAACTTTGGCTGCAGGACAAACTTGGGGAAGTACAGCTAAACAAGGCAGCAGAGTTAGCTGAGGAGTATTATACTCGCCGAAAGTTGCATAGCAGGGCAGTGCGCGTGGAAAAGGATGAAAGAAAAGAGGGCTTTTCAAAGAAACCTGATCAACGGAAACCCGCTCCGCACCGTAATTTCAAGAAGGACCCGTCTCTTACGAAGGACAGTGTAGGGGAAGGGCAAACAGAAGCGGAGAAATTGAGTGAGGTTTCTAAACAACGCACTGATACCACACGGGCGTTTGAATCACGGAAGCCGCTATTCTGCTACAACTGCAAAAAGGAAGGGCACATCGCGATAAACTGTAAGCAAAAGTTTGCTTTTGCAACAATTTGAGAATCGGAAAAAAACATGCGGTTGTTGGAGCCGTATCTCCAAGAAATTAGGGTGAATGGGAAAACGTGCCGAGCACTTAGAGACTCAGCGGCAACCATGGATGCCATCCTTCATTGGTGTCTCCGGATGACTTTACAGGAGAATGCGCGCGGATCAGGCAAGTCGCCGAGGAGCAGAGTGTTTGCTTACCAATCGCCACGGTTGTCATTGAAGGCCCGTTCGGTAAGTTTCGCACTGAAGCGGCTGTGTCTGCCGCGCTAAACGATCGTTTTCCTTATCTTTTCTCCAACAACTCAGAGCAGCTTCTTAAAGAGCAGGGTAAATCGTTCTTCCCCAACTTAGCGTACATGGCCCTCACGCGATCGCAAGCGCGGAAGCTTTCGCAGGCGCTTGATCTTGTTCTGTGTGGTGAAACAAGTTCAAAAGCAGCAGATCTGTGTGATCTTGGCGGCGAGTCGACGGAACCTCAAACACGAAATTCTCCGTGTGCGTCGTTTGAGCGGTCACTCGAGCGGCCTGTCGCCGAAGCGACTGGCGCGGCTTCCGTAGCAGGGGGAGACGACATGGCGCCATTGAGTCAGAGCGAGGGGAGTGCAACGCTCTCGCCTGTAGCGGAAAGTTAGAGCGAGCTGTCGAGGGTTGATCGAGAGACGCTTATTCAAGAGCAGCGTGAGGACCTCTCGATTAAAGCGCTAGTGGAAAGCCACATGAAAGCTGCACAAGTGTTGTCGAAAGAGTACAACGACAAATCGGTGAAGAAGCGCGCTTTTGAAGTAGGAAGTCAGGTAATGCTGCTGCAGCCGTCCAAAAGGAACAAGCTTGAGGTTCATTGGGAAGGGCCCGCCAAAGTAATATCTAAGCTTTCCGATACGAAATATGAAATGAAATTAGGAAGGTGGCCGAACAAAATTTACCACATTAACTTGAGGAAACCATACGTTCAACGTCAAGCAGTCGTAAATCTGCTTTTGAATGCTTCAGAGGAAGAGGGAGCAGAAATTTTTAGTTCTAGTGAGGTAATCGAAAGGGAATCGGAGGTATTCTTGGAGCAGTTGAACCTAGAGCCTACGTTAAGTGAAGTCCAAAACGAGGACCCGAGAAAGATTGTTTCCGAGATTGGAGACGTGTGTTCGGACCGTCCCCGAAACACGACGGTGATCGAACACGATACCGAGCTAACTTGTGAGGAGCCAATCCCTAGCAAGCCGTATCGTTGTTCTCCTGTGGAACGTCGCAAGTGTGAGCCGCTCTTGGTACCGCATAGGTATCGTCGCCTAAAAGTGGCCGGTTACTGAGATGGAGCATCATGCTCCAACAGCACAACTTTGACGTTCGCTGCAAAAAGAAGAAAAGAGAAAGCTATACGCTAATGCAGGTGCATTTAGCAGTGCGTTCTAGCTAGTACCTTCTCAACCTTTCGGTTTCTCGCTGGCGATTCGGGGCAAAATTTTGACCTCACCACGACCTGAGCTGAGCGCTCTCGTCCAGAGTGAGCTCAAGGAGCCAACTTTATGTTGTGTTCTAATTCGTTACGATGTTGTACGTGTAAAAAATGAGTTCTCATTTAAGAGTCTTGTGTCCCACATGTGCCTCTTGATGTAGAGGGAACGAAATTCCGATAGACACGTAGCTAGGTATATGTTGTACTATACTTTGTCTGGTGGTCTGTCGGGTGACCGAGGGCACTTGCTTGTGTCGTGTGTTGTCTGTTGTCGAACCGTTCTTTGCAAGTTGCAGAACCATCGACAAGTGCTGAAACCAAAGATTGTCAGAAGAGACGAGCGAAGCTGGTCGACAAGTTGTGGCGACAAGCCAGTGAAGCTTGGATCCGTCCTCAACAACGGGATGTGTTCCCGGAACATAGTCTGGAGATGCATTCTCCCCATGGCCCTGGAGGCGAACCTGGAGGGACCTGGCGGACGAGCGCACCTGACATCCGAGCCACGTAGAAGCAGCTCGTCTTTCCGGCGCATTGTCAGGCGGCGGGGGTGCTGTTATGCCTGCGAGTTCGCAGCGAACGTCCGTGCCTCTGAAAAAGGCAATCTGTGTCAAGGCCAGCCCGCCTGACGCGAACAACTCAACGGCGTCATCACGCCACGGCGCCTTTCTGGCGCGCACGTGCAGTGAGTCACCTCCGCAAGCGAGCCCGTCGAGTAAACAACCGGCGTCTTCCTGTCTGGCGGCTGACGCAATGTGCGGCGACGTCACTCGTCCTTGGGTGCAGCCACCTGCAGCGCAGCCTCTCCAGATTCGATGAGAAAGAAGGACGCGGCCCAGCGGTGACCTCATTGGAGGATTCTGACCTCGCGACCAGCGGCGCTTCGGGTTGGACATTTGGGTTGGACCCGGGGCATATAAAAGAAGCCCTGCGGCGCGTCGAGAGAGACCCCTCTTACAGCAGAAGCATTTGAGAGTAGAGCTATGTGTTAGAGAGAAGAGTCTTCGCGTCTCTGTCGGCCCCAGTGCCGAATTTGTAACGCCTCTGTATATATGCTGTACATAAACCTTGTTTAACTCACCGTCGTCTCGTCCGCTCGTCTATCAGCTCTGCGCAGAAGCAGTCGCGAGCTGAGAAGCCTACGCAACCAAACGGCTGGTGACCTTCCCGGTGGAGTTCGAAGCAGTGGCGCCTTCGGGACCGTGTTGGCGTCACCGTCTTTCGAAACAGTGGTTGCAGCGGTGAGATTTCGAAGCGCCCTTCGTAACGTCGTCGGAGCTGTGCGTCGCAACAGTATGAAGCATCGTTGTGATTTCATAACGAAACCTTTTTTGATCAACGCGAGTAGAGAAACTTCTCCAGGGTGTTGACACGTCACATGGGAACACGAATGTAGATTCAAATTTTAAGGTTTCTTAAATCCTACATGGAGTCTTGCTGAGTCATCGTATAGTGAAAACTTTCTCGTAACCGCATACCCGCAAACAGAAAAGAAAAAATTATACTTAAGTAACTCCTGAAACACTTTGAATTTGGAAGTCGGTTATTTGGATTCACTGTATGCTATGGTTTATATCTACAGAACAAGATATGCAAATGAAAATAATACACAAAAACACAGTGCGTCTTCTTCACTGGAGAGGTGTTGCTTTTTTCCTTTTTCGTCCCTTACGACGTAGGTTCAATGAAAGTGTATTTGTCGCTTAATATTCTGTCTCAGTGAAACGCTTTGTGTTGTGAGCTCCACTCGCGCTACCACAGTATTGTATTAGTGTGAAGAATAAAGCAGTACTTTCAGAGCTACTTTTCTCCAAAGAACACGCGTAGCATCCGGCACGAGTGCACCTTCAAACTTCCTCGTTTCTCGCAGGAATCGGCTTCGTGGGTGGTTTGTGCACCGATCACTTCGTAGCCCTTGGTGAAGACGCCGCTGGTCTCTTCAACGGAATGCACACGCTCACCCATGAGGCTGGCCATGTGTAAGAGTTGACTTTTGGCTTTAAAAGTTCTGCTTCGGAACCGCTCGGGCACAGCGCATTCACTAAGTGAACAAGGCACCCGTATTGGGCGCCAAATTCTGTTGTTTGTGTTCTTTTTTAGTTGGCGAGTGTACGCTTTTTTTTCGACCATGCTTTTTTGTCGAGTTTTTGTCAAACCATATTCTTCAGTTCTTGCAATAATATGCGATTAGCATTCAGAAACAGTTGAGAGCTCACGTCAACTTAATGTGCGCTTGTTTCTGTTTTAGCACTTTGCAAACACGCGCAACATTGGAGAGCCGATTCCTTACTGCAGGTCGAGAAGACATGAATGTGATATATAGGCACCAGGAAAAAGTCAACATTCATCAAACCAGTGGCAGTACTTTCTCCACGTACATGGTCTCTATCCTCCCGCATCGTTTCTCTGTGGCCCGTTTCTTTCGTCATCCAGCATCTCAAGGTCAGCGGACCTCACTGTGCTGTCACAAGTCGACGAGAACTCATTATCCGAGCTATGCGCACTTCGAAACTATCCGCACGGCATTTGCGATAGGCGCACCGTATCGCAAAACCGAATTTCCGTTCTCTATATAGGCCGTGCGTTTCCGATCATATAAGTGTAGGCGTTGAAGAAAGCGTGTTTCTTGAAGAGATGCGACCATCAAACCTTTAAGATTACCTTGCACTGCAAAACATCTCTATTGTACTTCTCGCTGCAATTATACACGCGCGTCACGAACACTCGTCAGATTAAGACACCACGCTGTTTCTCCAAGACCTGTGTAAAGCTATGTTAATTTCCTCAGCTCACTTATTCAGCCATAGGTACCTCTGGACCCTTTCGCAACAGCGTATGTCGTAGTTTTTTTTTTTTAAGTAAGAAATAGTATAGCATGCACACGTGCAATATTGGTGCGCCGCAAACCAAACAAAAATACTAATCGTGCACTTCAATTGTATACATAGAGTGTCCAGACATGCTCTTTTACTGCACAGTGCATGGTTGTTCATAATGCCTTCAATCCGTAATCTATCGTGCGGATTTAGTGTTGCGGTTCTGTTTCTTTTTAACGCTACACGTGTGCGCTCATTGCGCCCTTTGCTTCACGTCGCATGGCGCGGAGGTGTGCATTACCGCGAGCGGAAAAATGAGCGAAATGATCTACGGAACGAGCAGGTCCATCTACTGCACACGGCTCCGTATTCATCATAGCCCCGTGTTCCCAGAGCACGCTAACCAAAGAGGGCAAACGAAGAGTAAAATGGGGTAGCTAAGGAGGTGTAAAGCGAAGGGCATTGATTGAATTGTGGGGTTTAACGTCCCAAAACAACGATATGATTATGAGAGACACCGTAGTGGAGGGCTCCAGAAATTTCGACCACCTGGGGTTCTTTAACGTGCACCCAAATATGTCCAGATGACACCCCACCAGTAATGATAGAAGTCAGAAAAGCTTTGGAGAGCATGCAAAGAGGCAAAGCTGCTGGTGAGGATCAGGTAACATCAGATCTGCTGAAAGATGGAGGACAGATTGTGTTAGAAAAACTAGCCACCCTGTTTACGAGGTGTCTCCTGACGGGAAGAGTACCAGAGTCTTGGAAGAACGCTAACATCATCTTAATACATTAGAAAGGAGATGACAAGGACTTGAATAATTACAGGCCGATCAGCTTGCTCTCTGTAGTATACAAGCTATTTACAAAGGTAATTGCCAACGGAGTAAAGAAAACATTAGAATTCAATCAACCAAAGGAACAAGCAGGATTTCGAACAGGCTACTCAACAATTGACCACATCCATACTATCAATCAGGTAATAGAAAAATGCTCAGAGTATAAACAACCTCTATACATAGCCTTCATAGATTACGAGAAGGCATTTGATTCAGTAGAAATATCAGCCGTCATGCAGACACTGCGGAATCAGGGCGTAGATGAAGTATATATAAACATTCTGGAAGAAATCTACAGGGGATCAACTGCTACCATAGTGCTTCATAAAGAAAGCAACAGAATACCAATCAAGAAGGGTGTAAGGCAGGGGGACACAATCTCCCCAATGCTATTGACCGCGTGCTTACAGGAAGTTTTCAGAAGCCTAGAATGGGAACAGTTAGGGATAAGAGTTAATGGAGAATACCTTAGTAACCTGCGCTTCGCCGATGATATTGCATTGCTGAGTAACTCAAGGGACGAATTGCAACTCATGATTACGGAGTTACACAAGGAGAGCAGAAAGGTGGGTCTTAAAATTAATCTGCAGAAAACGAAAGTAATGTACAATAACCTCGGAAAGGTGCAACGCTTCGAGATAGGTAATAGTGCACTTGAAGTTGTAAAAGACTATGTCTACTTAGGGCAGGTAATAACCGCAGAGCCGAACCACGAGATTCAAGTAACTAGAAGAATAAGAATGGGGTGGAGCACATTCGGCAAGCACTCCCAAATTATGACAGGTAGATTGCCACTATCCCTCAAGAGGAAGGTATATAACAGCTGTATCTTGCCGGTACTTAGCTACGGAGCAGAAACCTGGAGACTTACAAAGAGGGTTCAGCTTAAATTGAGGACGACGCAGCGAGCAATGGAAAAAAAATGGTGGGTGTAACCTTAAGAGACAAGAAGAGAGCAGAGTGGATTAGGAGACAAACGGGGGTTAAGGATATCATAGTTGAAATAAAGAAGAGGAAATTGACATGGGCCGGGCATGTAGCACGTAGACAGGATAACCGCTGGTCGTTAAGGGTAACTAACTGGATTCCCAGAGAAGGGAAGCGGGTTCGGGGGAGACAGGAAGTTAGGTGGGCAGATGAGATTAAGAAGTTTGCGGGTATAAATTGGCAGCAGCAAGCACAGGACCGGGTTAACTGGCGGAACATGGGAGAGGCCTTTGTCCTACAGTGGACGTAGTCAGGCTGATGATGATGATGATGAAATATGAGCACACGGGCCTAAAACATTTCCGCCTTCATTGGAAATGCAGCCACCGCAGCCGGGATTTGATCCCGTGACCTGCGGGTCAACAGCCGAGTGTTTTAGCCACTAGACCACCGCGGCGGGGCAAAGCGAAGGGCAGGTGCAGTAGGCGGACTATGTGTTTCGGAGCACACTGCCTTGTGAAGCTTGCCAAGAGATGTATGTTGGGATCTTTGCGGCAATTGAGCCAGTGGACGCACGCAGCAACATCTGTAGCAAAACAGGTTTTCGTACATACGTAGATAATCGATTTCGGCGATCTGCAACACCGATAAAAATTAATGTTGATCAAACATGATTCTCGCACACACGCGTGGCATCGGTGCTTGTTTTAAAATACATATATTGTAATATTGTTCTTCCAAACTAGCTTACGTTACAGGCGAGTTACTAAATTGAACGGAGAAATAAGAACGCGCCTGTGATTTTAGAACCTAAGCACGGCGCCCAACTTGTTATGAGACAGGTTCACCTTGGTACATTATTTTTCTGAGTTCAGGTAACTCTCAAATTCGATTAAAACTTGCGCTACCTTGTTCCCGGTATTTTCAGGGCTCTTTCGTTGCCTTATCAGAGCACGCAGCATTGGGAAGTCATGGCAGAATGAAGAATTAAAAAAAAAAAAAGGATAGCGGCTACAGCAAATGAAGTGCTGTGACATGAGACTGGTTTGTTTTTTGCGCCCCACAAAGTATGCTGAATGTACACTACGGGGTTGTCAATAGATGGCGCCCAAACTTTCATTAGGCTAAGTTTTTTTTCATTCCAAGGAATTAAAAAGAATGGAATAGCGTCAAGTCCTCATTCCCCGGAATTGGAATGGAATGGAGGTGCCCATTCCGCAACACTGAGTGAGATTGATCCGTTCTGTTCTGTTTTAACTGTTTTGCTGTGGAGAAGTTGGGGTGCCTATAGCCTCGGCTACTCCATATTACAAAGTTCTGCAGCGAAAAATAAAATAACAATACAGAACGGTACCCAAAAATTAACAATATGGAAAAGAAAAAACATAATAGCACACTGAAACCAGTTCAAATATCATGCCAATACAGTTTTCTTCGCGAAGTTCACACAGTCATAAACTACTTACATGCACACCTTACTAATCTAATGTCAGTATATACATGACCACATTTTATATAATACCCATTTCTGGCTGTCAGTCATAGGCGCTTGTCCAGTCCAGTCTCCACTAAAAAGTCTGTCAGGAAGATTATTGCCTTTTTCTGGAGATGCATCTCAGGCCATGGTCCAATTAGTTTCTTTATTGTGAGGGGCCGTCTGTCCAAACTTGCTAATTCGTTCTTTAATTTTTCTCTTTCATTCGCGTATTTAACGCACTTCAAAAGAATATGGTGAACATTTTCTTCTGCATGACCACAATGACATTCCGGTGAGTTGGATCGATGTATCTTGTGCAGGAAGCTGTTTGTGTATGCTACTTCCAATCTAAGTCGGTGGATTAATGTCTCTAGGTGTCGTGGGAGGTCTGTCGCTATGGAAAATTTTCTGTGTGGATCAACTTCATAAAGTACCATTTCCTTTGATTTAAAGCTCTCAAACCACTTCTCTATCGAACGATGGTTAGCTCCTTGCGATATAAAATGTCGAATATCCGGCCCAGACATAGGGATTGCGCAATCCCGTCCTTCCTTCAATGCTTTCTTCGCGAGACTATCAGCATCTTCATTTCCCTTTATTCCAATGTGGCTGGGTATCCATTGGAATGCGATGTTGTGACCCTGCGATGACGCATATTCTACAGTTTCTGCGATACATTGTGCTATTTCACCATTTTTGTAAGGTGATCTCACATTTCTGATTAGCTGAAGAACAGGATTGTTATCAGTGCCTATCACCCTTTTTGGTGGCTCAGAATACTCGCAGATAAGCTTAACTGCTTCAAAGATAGCCACCAATTCTGCTGTCGTCGGTGAAGTTTTGTGCGATAATTTGTACATCTTCTTTTTCTGAATTTCGGGTATAAAGACCGCACAGGCTGACGCTTCTTCTGTGCATGA